TGTGTGTGTGTGTGTGTTTGTGAGTGTGAGTGTGTGTGTGTGTGTTTTTGTTAGTGTGAGTGTGTGTGTGTGTGTGTGTGTGTGTTTTTGGGTACACATTTGTTTCCAAAAGTGAATAAGTCTGACAGCGTTTCACTGGTGATCCTCTGTTGGATTAACAATTCAATATTTTTAATAAATCATGACATAGTTGATGTCAAATCATAATTGAGTTTTAATCTAGAGATCTATTATAAAACAGGTTGTCAGTTGTATTTGTAATTCAGTTGTAGTTCGTTTAATTTACATCTGTTGAACTGAAGCAAACGTGACAAAACTGAATATGAAATGAATAGCAGAACATTCTGTGAACGCTACAAACGAGCAGCTTTTGAATATTTGTAATATTAATAAGCTCTTCAGCATAACGTGTGTTTCTGGCTGTCATTCCCAGCATCCTCTCTGTTGTGTGTGAAGAGCGCTGGGACTCACTAATCTAGATTCATCTGTCCTCTAATGATACAGCACGCCTGTCAGGATTATATTTTATTACATTTCAGGGTTTTTTGTAGTTTTAGTTAACTATAATAATCCCTTATATATTCCTAATCTGAAATAACCCAATCTATGGGCAGATGTAAGTGCGCTCTCATATATATTCCATAAAGGCCGTTTTGTCTTGGCTTGGATCTCTGAAGGTTTGCAGTGTGTTTATGAAGCGTTTGAGCAGACGGTTCGTTTAGTGGATGATCTCACCGTTCCTCAGCCAGAACGCTGCTTTAATCTCTTTTCCATATTCATACAGAGTTTCCATGTTTTGCTTGGATCATCGCCACTGAAAGAGCTTTTCCTCTGGCAGTTAATTGATCAGATAGGAAGATCATCAGGCTCTTATCACGAGCGTTGTGTTTGATCGTCAGCTTCATCAGCTCTGCGCTTGTCCTCTGGAATCTGCCTGCGGAGTGCTTTTGTCTCTGAATGAATGATGATGATGACTGTGTTTGCCGTTTGAAGGCATCGTTGGAGAACTGCAGGAAACGGGTAACCGGGAGATTTAAGAGCGGTGTAAAAAGCCATTTAGTGTTTCGTTCTAAAGGCTAGAGTTGGAATAATTTGTGTCTGTTGACATCTTGTCATGATTTTTATATTATCTGTTCGATACACCTACAGAGAGCTGTATATTCTCAGTTGTAAAGCATTCACATTTAAATGATTATTATTATTATGACATACTTTACAGTTCAGTAGTATTACATAGTACGGAAGCCAACTTTTTATCTCGCAATTCTGACTTTATTTCTCGCGATTGCGAGTTTATGTCATGCAATTCTGAGAAAAAAGTTAGAATTGCGATTTTGTGTCATGCAAGTCTGAGAAAAAAAATCAGAATTGTGAGATCGTATCACGCAATTGCGAGAAAAAATGTCAGAATTACCTTTTTAATGTTTTATTCGGTGGCAGAAATGGGCTTTATTATTATAGTGACATTTCTTTATTGAACTGTTTAACTTTTATCATTTCATTAAATAATACAAATATTAAAACAATGCAATCAGATTTGTTTCCCCAATTTGTTCTCAGTTTTTTAATGAAATAATGCAAAACACTGCTGCGTGTGAAGTATTTCCTTCGGCTGAACATCTAGTGGTGATTTACACCTGTTTGTCTGGACTTACAGAGCGTTCTGCTCATCTTCTGCTCATCTGGAAGCGGTTCCCATCCGTCTCCAGGTATCTTACTCCTGTTATCCGGAGGAGATTATGAGCAGAAGCTGGAGTATCATCATAAACACATGAATGATGACAGTACACACAGTGAACAATGCCGTCTTTATGCGTTGGCTCTGAAGGGCCCCGGGCCCCAGATGTGTCATGGGTAAAGCAGATTCTGGGTGGCCACACATTTACTGTAATGCTTTTAATGGTTAAAAAGCTTTTAGAGGCATCTCTGCATTTTACCGCATTTTTACCGCGCTGTTGTAAATACAGCTGGTCACGGATCCCACACGTGACGATAGACCGATGGGGTGAATGAGTGAAAACACGTCCCTCATGACAGAACGTTAGGAGTTTAATGAAGACGAGCCTGTCTCAACCTGACTTGTTCCCCGCTGTTCTTATTTTGTACGTCTGAGGAGTACATCTGATGCCGCTTTAGAAGATTCTGATCGTTTGTCTGTTATGATGAGGCTCTGTGATATAAGCCAAAGTTATATCACATTATTCTCAGTTTTGGTTGATAGCCCACCTAAAATTATAAGTTAATATTTCCATAATTTCTCAACACTCCCATTCTCTGATGCAGTGTTATTTTATGTTTTTGTTAAAATTGTAATTAGATTTTGCTTTTATATTTTCTAATTTCATGTTAATTTTAGTTAAAGTTTTTGTAATTGTGATCTGGGTTTTTGTTGTTTTTAAATATATATCGATATAGATTTTATTTTGTTTGTTTTATTTTTAATGATTTTTAGTTTTGGTTAACTGTAATAATCCTGGTCTGAAGTCCGTTAATGGTCACATGATATGCTAAAAAGACAAAATATTTCATCTCTTTATAAAATTAAGATTAAAATTACACACATATATATATATATATAATTTTTTTCTTTTTCTCATCAACTCACATTTGACGAACACTTAAATACATCGTACCAGTAATTCACGTTTATGGAAAGTAATTTTCGATTTTTTTTTTTAATTCTAAAATTATTGTTTTTTATTTGTGTAAATTGTAATATTAAATATGAAAGTGTTATATATAGTGTTAATCCAGATGTTAATGAATAATTCCTGATGTAACTCTGATCACTCGTTGGCAGAGCAGCTGTAACGGTCATTGATCGATCCGTCATGAATCCCAGAATTCTTTTGTCACTATAATTGATCCGTCAGTGAGTTTGTCTTTCATAACAGCAGTAGACCCATAGAGAGATGAAGCAGACGGGCTGCCATGTCATTGACCTTCACAGGACTGGAGCTGATGTTTGACCCGAGTTCAGATGAATTAGCACTCATTCGAGACAAATCATCTCTGCTCCTGGTTGATTTCTGTGCAGTTTGTTAATAAGTGTTTCTCGTGAACCTTCTGTCTGTCTTCACACGTGTTCAGTAAAGCAGCTGTGTTTCCTCCAGTGCTTCCAGTGAAGCATCTTCTGCTCTCCTGATCATTTCTGATGGCATTTCATGCTGTTTTACAGGTTGTACAGATAAAGTTTCCCCAACACTCTATCATTTACTTGTTCATGTTTTGAAGCATCAAAAATGACACAGGTGTTCTATAAAAGTGTGATTAAAACGCAATCATAAATGTGGAGGATACGCTTCTCTGCGTCTGTATCGGTGTCAGTGTGCTCTTCAGGCGCAGACGGGTCTGAATCTGACTGAAGCTCTTCTATAGTTTCTGCCTGAAGCTTTTCTTCCACATGCCTGAATAATGTATGGAAGCTTTTACTGGCCCACTTTAAGAGCATCATGGGATTGCAAAGAAAAATATAACAAATAAAACGTCTTTGACATTCGATACAGTCACTGGATGTGTGTTGACATGTAAGACGCTCCGTTATACACGTGATTTAACACGCTTGTCAGTTCAAGCAGCTGAAGACCCAAGTGCTCAACTTACCCGGAAGCAAGCGCTCGCTCGACTAACACGGAAACTCAAAAACTCACGAAAATCAAACTCACGGTATCCCAGCATGCATGATGTGATGAGGTCTGCAGATGAGCTCAGAGCTCCTGATGATGACGATGATGATGAAGGTTTTGTGTGTGTGTGTTTGTATTGGCAAACACGCATCTCACTGCATCATTAATGGATGCAAACATGCTGTTGGGTTTGATTTGTCGGGTGATGTTTATTCGTCTGATTTGTGTTAGTCTGAGTTTGACTGGTTCTCTGTGTTTCTCTCAGTCTTCATCATCCAGGCGTCTTCGCTTCAGTTCTCCGAAGAGCCCCAGTCTCAGGACGCATTACACGGCCGCAGTGCTATCCTGCGCTGTGAGCTCAGCGGCCCGGAGGACATGCGCTTCTGGTGGACTCAGGACGGCCGTCGCGTGCAGGACTCGAACCGCCGCTTTCAGGAGGGCAGTAACCTGAAGTTCACGGCGGTGGACCGTCACGCAGACACCGGCAGCTTCCAGTGTGTGGCATCCAGCAGCTCCACCGGAGAGACCGTGACCTCCGCCAACGCCTCCATCAACATCAAATGTGAGCTCTGATTGTGTGTGTCTCTGGAAACGAGGCGTCACGGCCCAGGTTAACAAAAAGTGCACTTCCATCATGTACTTAAAGTGCTCTATTCTCGCGCACTAATTTTGTACTTAATATACTAAAATGATTCTTTAGTACTTCTTAAGATAAACTAAGTGTACTCAACTGTGCTATTTTGGGACACTGTGATGAGTATGAACTAAAATGCACTTTTGACACACTATCTCTGTATTTAAAATGTATTTAGTCAGCACTTGTAGTACACTTGAGTGTACTAGTGTATGAAAGATGGTTCAAGTGTACACAATACAATACAATACGCGAGAATAGAGCACTTTAAGTACATGATGGAAGTGCACTTTTTAAAAAATCTGGTGGCTCTTTAGATGTCATGCTTCAGATCTGGGGAGAAATGTTCCCCTCACAGTGTGATATTTAGGACAGATCAGCAGAAAGTGTTTCTCGTCCTCTATCAGCTGTAGATCACAGTGTCTACAGATCCTCAGCTCGTGCTCTGTCCATGTGTGTCTCTGTCTTCCTCTCTCTATTTCTAAATCATGCTTACTTCATCTGTATTTGGAGAGATTTCTCTCTCTCTCTCTCTCATCATGTGGCACTATATTCATCTGTTTCAGACACATGACTTTTACAATCATCCACCACATTTATGAGCATTAGCTGGGCAAAATAATCAAACACGCGAACAGAGAGACCATTAAAACATGTGGATCTCTGGATATGACCCTAACAGCTCTCAGAAAACATCTGGACAGATCTCAAGTGAACACAAACCAGTCATAACATTCACTTACATTTAGATTTATTTGGATGGTTTGTGTTTCAAATTGTGTCATTTTGTCAGCTGTTTTTTTAATTTAGTCTTAGACCTTTAGTCTAATACCCTTTTTAGTTTGTGCCATACTTAGTCAACCTGTCCTGTTTTTGTTAAATCAAGTTTTAGTTGACTAAAAGTCTAGGAGCTACATTTTAAAGTCATATTTTAGTCATGCTACATAAAGATCAGATGTTTTGCTCAACATTATAATTGTGATTACTGAACAGATTTCTTTCTGGATTTTTTCTTCTCTTTTTTTGTTGTTGTTGAAGAAAATAGAGAAATATTGGATATAGAGAGTTTTTATTCTAGTGATGGTTGTGGATGTTGTTGTGTGTCCTCAGGGCTGGAGAGGGGGCCAATTACAATGAACGAACCCGCCTCAGAGGCGGAGCTAGAGGAGGCTGAGCGAATCGTGCTGCAGTGTCACATTGATGGACATCCACGGTGAGTCCAGCATCTGATTGGACAGTGAAACATGAGTCAGATCCTCACACAGAACTCCTGCAATATATGAACAGTGAATGATGTAGGTTCAAATGGAAGCCCTGTTTCCACCACAAAATAAAAAAATGCAAAAAGGTAATTGCAATTCTGAGTTTTTCCTGGCAATTCTGAATTTATATCTTGCAAACTCAGAATTGTGAGATAAAAAGTATTTCTTTATTCTGTGACAGAGACTGTCTGCCGTAGGTTACAGATGTGTTTCTGATCATAGTCTACTGACTGTCGCTGATTCTGTGTGAAAAGATGTTTCTGACCTGTGCAGGCCGAGCAGTAAATGGTTCAAAGATGGAGCTCAGCTGGACAGAAAGGACCGGATCCTCACACTGACCAACCTCAGCACAGGGGATTCTGGGATATACTCCTGCTGTGCTCAAAATGCTGCTGGAAAAGTGTGCAGTAACCACAACATCACCCTCAATATTTTTGGTAAGATTATAAGGTTTGAACAGACACAAGCTCAGGTTCTTCTAGATAAGATTTATATAGTTTAGTTTAGTTTGACGTGTGAGATGACGTGCCGTTTATGTAGACTGCTTGAGCGTGTCAGTGATGCCCTCACATGCGCTCTCAGGTTTTATTGTGTGTGTTCTGCAATGTTTGTCATCTCATGTGTGCAACTAAGCAGGAATGTCTAAAGCGTAACCCAACACCTCGGCCAGCCTTCCCATAAGCCACCTGCGCTGCTCACGCACACACCTGCAGACAGAATAAAAGCTCTGCTGAAGAATAAAGAGATCAGCTGGAGCATGAATATTACAAATGAAAGGAGAGAGCGAGAGGAGCGAGGATAAAGAGCTTTAGCAGAAGAATAATGGGCGACAGTGAGAGGGAGAGTTTACACACACAGACAGACCACAGCATGTCTGTCTGATCCTAGAGCATGTCTGTCTGATCCTAGAGCGTGTCTGTCTGATCTAGAGCATGTCTGTCTGATCCTAGAGCGTGTCTGTCTGATCTACAGCGTGTCTGTCTGATCCTAGAGCATGTCTGTCTGATCCTAGAGCGTGTCTGTCTGATCTACAGCGTGTCTGTCTGATCCTAGAGCATGTCTGTCTGATCCTAGAGCATGTCTGTCTGATCCTAGAACATGTCTGTCTGATCTACAGCGTTTCTGTATGATCTACAGCGTCAACATACAATATTCAACAGATGAGTATTAATTTCATTCAACCTAAAATGACTATGTGAGTTTTGTTTCATTAGTAACTGTATGAATATGTTTATTGAACATGATCACGATTGTAAATGTGACTATAAATCAGTAAAGGGTGATTTATAGAATCACGTCGGGAGGGTCAGATGAGTTTCTCTCTGTGGAACGTGGTCTGATCCAGGTGTGCTAAAGGTCAAAGGTCACGTGACACCTGTTAGCAGCTGGCAAGTAGATGAGTGTGAGTGAGTGCCTTTACTCTATATTCATAAGCTGAAGCGTGACTCTTCTGTCTCTCTGTGTGTGTTCAGATAAGTCTGTTCCCCGTGTGCTGGTGGCTCCGGTGGATCAGGTGGTTCTGCGTAATGAGGAGGCCGTGTTTCACTGTCAGTTCAGAGCCAAGCCGCCGCCGCTGATCGAGTGGTTCCACGACGCAGAACCCGTCCTCAACAAATCACGGTGAGACGCTTCAAATGCTGAATGTTTCCTAATGCTTACATCACATGCAGACGCTCACAAACAGACTGGTCTGTTTACTCTTTAAGTGTTGAGAGGGTAAGAGTGCCCAAAACGACTAAAACTTACACTAGGTGAAATTAAAGTGAAAACGGAAAATATATTTTAAAAATACCTAAACTAAAAATGATTAGAAACTACGAATCTGTTGAATGTAAAGTAGGGATGGAACGATATAATCAACAGTCTCGATATTATCGTGGTCACATGACGATATGAAACGATAGGTCTTCTGGGCAAAAAGTGTAGTTTTTAAAATATATTTGTTTTGGGTCATTATGCTTTGGCACAGTATCTGTCATACGCACTCAAACCGAAAGCACAGTATGTTTAATCCCTTCATCAAGTCTGTTTGCGCTGCGTGTTTCAAAGCGAAGCGCTCACGTGGTTCAGACGATCAGCTCGTGATCCGGTGTTTTCTGCGTCTCAGAACGACTCGTTCACACTGAATGAATGCAGTCCACTCCTTTATTTCACGAGCTGTGAGTTTAGCATGCGTTTGGGAACAACAGTTATGCTTTATTTTCCCGGCAGATGATTACAGCGGTTCACTAGATTTGTAGTGAGACGTGTTTGTGTTTTTGTAAGCATGTTTTCACTGAAGCTGGAAAATAAATCAATATGAATCGCTGACAGCTAGCGGTTTAAATGCAGTCCAAATTCAAATGATCTCTTTCAAGTGTAGAAATTAGGAAAGAAGTATTGTAATTTCCCTGCTGTAGTGTATAGCTAAAATAATATACCTATGAAATATTCATAGGTATATAAAGTTATATATAATATAAAGTTTTCTTAGTTAAGAACGAGGGTTGCAGCTCTTAATTTTGAACTCTCAAAGTGCATTAGATTGAATAATTTAACTTTAAAATGTACACAATTTAAATTTTTTCCCAATTCTTCATTTTTCTTTTTAAATATCACAATAAATATCATATCGTGGACTTAATATTGCAATAATATCACTGAGATTTCGATATCGTTACATCCACGCACGCACGCACGCTCGCT